AACTGAAAAGGCTCAGGAGGTTTTGAAGCTTTTATTAAAGAAAATTAAACCTCGTTTTGGGTTGCCTAGTTCCTTACAGAGTGATAATAGCCCTGCATTTGTTTCACAGATAACCCAGGGTGTGGCAAAGACACTTGAAATCACTTACCACCTCCATTCAGCCTGGAATCCCAAGTCCTCTGGTAAAGTAGAGAAATGAATCATACCCTTAAACTAATCCTTACTAAACTGTGCATAGAAACCCGAGAAGATTGGATTAAGAATCTCCCAATTGGGCTACTCAGAGTCTGTATCACACCTCGGGAAAATATCAAGCTTAGTCCCTTTGGACTTTTGTATGGGAGGCCTTTCTTAACCTCTGACATCCTTGTAGACACTGAAAAGCATTTGATCACTCAATTTGCAACTCAGTTAGGAGCTGTCAGGAACGCCCCAACAGAATATGCTGACAAGCATCTTCCAAAACCTTTTGGCTGTGAAAAGGAGCTTTCTACCTCAGTACAACCTGGAGATTGGGTCTATTTAAAGTCATGGAAAACCCAAAAGGGAGAACAATTAGATGTCAATTGGAAGGGACCCTACGGAGTCATACTCACCACTCCTACAGCAGTAAAACTTGAGGGCCTTCCTAGCTGGACTCATAATTCTAGGATTAAACCAGTGTCATCTCTCAGTCCTTCCCCAGAGACTCCAGAATATACCTGTGAGCCCTTGGAGGATTTGAAGCTGTTGTTTAGAAAGGCCCCTGGCCCTCTTAGAAAGGCTGCTGGCTCTCTCCAGCCAACAGGTGGATAAAAAGAAGAGAAATCATAATTTTTTTTTTCTTTCTTTCTCCTTCTCTGTACTACTTTTGTAACATTCTTGCTTTCTAGGGTTGGAGCCATCAACTCCCAGATGATATCAGCCAACAGAGTCTAAGGTCTCTAGCCCACTGGACCCAGCCATGGGTCAGCTGTACTCTGAAGTCTGACCCCTTAAAGAAAATGGTACCCCATGAGGCAGGGACAGCTCTACTCCCCTTGTCAGTAGGAAGCAGTTTCAGAAGCCGAGACCTTCACCCCTTACTCCAAAAGAATTTGGGTCCCATTTGCTTGAGAGGGGAGTGATGGGGTTGGAATCTGAATGCCAGAAAGGAAAAACTCTGGCCCCAGACCATTTCCCACCCTTGGTAATTCTATTACTTCATGGATTCTGTACTTTCCCATATGGCCAAATCTCTGGCGGTCCCCTGAGGCTATGGTCCCATCCATCAACTGGTCTTTCATTGTGGCTACACCCAATCTCCCCTCCATTGTTTTACCTCCCTATGGCCCCTGGCCATTTCCCACCCTTAATCCTAACTAGGCTCCATTTTCCCTTGGCCATGAGGTCCAGGTCCCAGGAGTTCTGTTCACCCCAGCTTACTAGCCACTCCCATCCAGATCTCCTTAGGTCCTTCCTCTTGTCACTCCAAACTACTTGGCCACTCCTAGATCCCTCCCACAGTCTTTCTGTATATAAGGTCCATCTTATCTCCATTAAGATGCTCAGAGTCTTAAAATCTAGCCACTGCTTACCCACGTTCAGACTCCTTAAGAGTCTGCCTAATACGATGGATGTTCTAATAAACCTTGTCTTTAGCTGAAAGAAGGCTTGGGTCGAATTCTTTTGGGCAGGATCTGCGTGTTGAGCTTTTTGAGTTCCAGCACCCCTGAACCCCTAAACTGCATCAGCTTCACCAAGATTCGAATATTAAGGAGAAAAGACCTCAACTTGCCAATATAGCTACATAAAGATGTATATGCATGTAATATAAATTTTCTAACAATTAACACCAATTCATTTAAATTTATTGTTGGTTGACTCACAAAGTCTGACGCTTAAAGTTACAAACATCCTAAATACTAGACATGCGCTTATTATATATTATAAACAGAGGTATAGAGCTATGGAGATAAGGCATTATAGAATGCATCACATCAATCAAAGTTGTGTTGACCTTAGTAAAATCTCTTAACCTCCCAGTGCCCCAAACAACTCTCTAAAACTATAGATTATAGAACTGCAAATCTGCATCAGTGGAGGGAGTTTCCATACCAGGAGTTCTTTCCACAATAAAATCATAGGTCTAGAAAAAAAATGAGGGCAATTTATACTAGACAATTTCTTTACTAGGTCATTCTGGTTTGTTCCAAGACTTTAACCATAAAGAATGAGTCTTCCTTTCTATAATTTTAGGCACTCTTCAATTTTGCAAGAGGTTCTTTTAAAAGGGCTTGCCACATTTATGAGAGGTCATGCTATTTGGCTCTAAATCACATGATTTGTACTAACTTCATCCAGTTTCAAATTTGTAGACAGTGATTCTGAAATCACCAAATGAAGCAGGGGGTATTCCAAATTCCATCTAAATAATTTATCAGCTTTGAAATTTACTAGAGACAAAGATATCTCCACACTGCATTGCTCAAATTCCACGCCCAAACCTAGCATGGATGGGGTGCCTTGATTCTTTGGAGAGTCTCCCAACTTATTTTTTGTACCTACAGGCCACTCTATTTTGTCCACCATAAGCAGGAGACCATCTTATGATCACTTAGTCACTTTTATATTATATATTTTATTTTCAGTTTTGTATTTTCTCCCTTCTGCTTCCCCTTCCCATACCCACTGACAAAGAAAAAAAGAAAAACAAACTCGTTACAACTGTGCAGTCAAGCAAAACAAATGTCCACATTTGCCACATCAAAAAAAAAAGAAAAGAGAATATCCTTCAATCCGCACTCTGAGTCCATCAGTTCTCTTTCTCCAGATGGATGGAGTATCTCAGGAGTCCTTTGCAACTGTGGCTGGTGATTGTGTTGATAAGAGGTCCTAAGTGTTTCAAAGATGTTTATCATTACAGTATTACTGCTATTGTATAAAATGTTCTCCTAGTTCTTTTCACTTCACTCTGCATCAATTCCGAAAGTCTTTCCAGGTTTATTTGGCAGTGATCTGTACAAGGATGTCAGCTGAAGCCACAAGAATGTTTTTCTTCCCTTTTTTTTTTGTCAGTGGATATGGGAAAGGGAAGTGGATGGGAGAAAATACAAAACTGAAAATAAAATAAGGATGACTCCCAACCTATATGTTTATATCCAACCACTCCCAAAGTTCCAGTCCTTTGTTTTCAACGACTTCCTGATGTTATCTGCCTGGATATGGAACCAGGTTTTTATCATCAGAGCTGTAACAAGGGCAGAATGACTGCAGCTTTGCTCCAAGGCACTGAAATATAGAGTGCAGGACTGAACTGGTATTCTTTTAAGTAGGTAGAAACAGTGGAGTTAAGCACTTAATTAGCAATAACCATTAATTTAAAAAAGGATGCTGATTGTTGGGTTCCTCAAAACCTGTACCTCAGGGAAGCTCCTTCCCAAGCAGTCTCCTCCCTCTTCCCACTACCCACAAACACAAATTCTGGTGTCTCAAGGTCTCTCCACCAACAGGTCCTTGTCTCAACATTTGCGGTCTCTCCTCAAGGTTGGTCTCTCTCCTTGCCCCAAAGTAATTTGATTTTTTCCTATTTTCTCTTGGTAGTTTTTATGTTACTTGCCTAAGTCCAAGAATTGCTAGTGACAATCATTTATCACTTAGTTAGTGAGAGTCATGTGAAGATTTGAGGACTGAGGAGGGACTCAGGCAAGGCTATTCTTTTGGCTATCACTATGTTTTTTTAATGTGATTCTGTTCCGTTTTCCTATCCAATTTCTTGCCTTCATGTCGGAGTTCCTCTCTTCCTCTGAGATTTTTAGCTCAGGCACCAACTTCTGCGTAAAGCTACTTCTCATGCCCCAATTGCTAGACTTTCCTCTCAAACTGCTTTGTATGTAACTACTTTGTACCTATTTGCATTTATGAACCTTTTAGTGACACTGTATAATCTTTTCATGTACTTTTCATGTACATCCCACATTAGAATGTAAGCTCACTGCAATTAGAGATTGCTTCATTCTTTGTACTTGTATCCCCAGAGAAGAAGTATTAAACACTTGGTCTGCTGGCTGCATGCAAGAGCCCCCCCAACACCACCCCAGTGCAGCCTGAACCAGATTAAAATGTCTCTGATTTTCTAAATCAATGTGCAGCCACAGGGATCCTTGTATACGATTTAGAGACTTCTGTTTCTATTTGACACTACTGCCCCAGATCCTAGCACAGCGCCTGGAACATTATAGGCTCTTCAGAAACAGTTGTTGATTAATCAATTGTTGATTCATGAAAGACTGAATTCTATTGTCTCTGCATTTCCCCACATCATTTGAGTTCTCTATCCTATGGGAAATCAATAAAAAATATCAACAGACTATTTGGGTACTCTAAGAAACAACAACCTCCAACCTAGGCTCTAGCACCAGAAGAATGGTATGGTGCAGTGGAGAGAAAGCTGGCCTGGGGATTCTCAAGACTTGGGTTCTAGACCCCAGTTCTACCACGCTTTCTGAATAAGACCTTAACTCCTTTGATTCATAGACATTTATTGAATGCCTACTAGGTGCCTAATCTTGTGCTAGTCACTGTGGAGAATTCAAAGATGAATGAGGCACAGTCCCTTCCCTTAAGGAGGTCTACAGCTTTGTAATCCTATATATTTTATTTGATGCACTTAAAAACATAATTCTGAAGAGCCCATGGACTTCAAAAGGGGTCCATGACACACAAAAAAGTTAAGAACCCCTGGACCAAATGATTTCTAAGGTCCCTTCCAGTTCTAAACTTATGGTCCAATGAACTATGTCAGTCCATAAGCAGGATAAATTACTTTTTGGTGGGAATCCTGGGAGCTAGGGTTCCTGGACTGGAGTCAGGAAGACTCATCTTCTTGAGTTGAAATCTGGCCTTGGACACTTACTAGCCATGTGATTCTGGGCAAGTCACTTAACCCTGTTAACCTCAGTTTCCTCATCTGTAAAATGAACTAGAGATGAAAATGGCAAATCACTTTAGAATCATTGCCAAGAAAACCCCAAATGGGGTCACAAAGAGTTGGACATGACTGAAAAACAACTAAGGGGATCTGGAAAGCCTCCATAGCAGAAGTGACATTCATAGAATTGTAGAATGTAGTAAAGGACATTATAGATTATTCAGCCCAACTTCCTTATTTTACAGAAGAGGGAAATGTGTGTGTGTGTGTGTGTGTGTGTGTGTGCTCCCGCCTTTCTAATAACCACCAAACCACCAAATTTAGAGCAGTTGCAGTGAAACTAGGAAGGAGAGAGTGGTACTGATAACAATCTCTCCTCTGAGGATTGTCTTTCTAGTTCAGGCATTGTCTGTTTGGGCCCACTCCATGCCATGCCTTCCTTATTTAGATCATCACCTCTATTTCCTCTCTACAGGTAACCTGGATTCTATCCTCGAGTCCCTTGGCTCTAAGAGATGAACCTTATATTGGGGGTGGAGGACGGGCCTCCCTGCACTTCCTGTCCAGCTTTCCAGCTATGCTACCATAGGTTACCCCCGCCTCCCAGTTCCCCTTTTATGTGTTGTCTTTCCCCGTTGGAATGTAAGCTCCTTGAAGACAGAACTGTCTTGTTTACTTTCATTTATATCCCAGTACTGAGCACATTGCTTGACACATAGTAAATGCTTAAAGGCTCTATCTGTCTGTCTGTCTATCTATCTATCTATCTATCTATCTATCCTCCCATCCAAGCTCTCTACTCTCCTCACAGGAGAGAGAACCTTCTATTTCAGTAGTGTTAATAACAATGGACCTTTAGCACGTCTAGCACTTCAAGTTAATTTACAAAGTACTTTATATACATTATCTCACTTGAGTTTCATAACAAGTTTACAGAGGAGTAAAGTGAGGCTCAGAGATGCTAAATGACTTGCCAGGAGCATCACAACTAGTAAGTCTGTCTCTCTCTGTCTCTTTCTTTCTCTCTCCTTAAGTCCAGTACTGTATCCCAGGTCCTTGAGGAAAGTACTGTTTAATTTATGCTTCTTTATACCTGGAATCTACACCACTGCCTTGCACATAATTAGTGTTTCATACATGATTGTTGAATCAAGTTGAATTCTCCCTTTTAACTTGTCTTCTCTAGGCCAAACAACTTTCTCTTAAGGAGAGAGAATCGTTTTCCTCTCTCCTCCCTCCAGTTTGCAGCCCTACAAGCAGAAACTTTGCTATCACTAGGACTAGACCAAAAAGAATGGATGATTCTGAATGGCCAGAAAATGAGGCAAATGAAGGGATGAGGTTCTGCTGTACTTCAGGAGCAAGGGTGATGATCCAAGGGGTGAAGGCAACCACATCGGCATAGATGCCAGGGCAATTGGGGGCTCCGCAGACCTCCCCCCAGCTTACCATACCTCCTAGCACCCATTGATCCTTTAAATGGCAAGACAAAGGGTTCCCAGAATCACCCTAGAAGAGAATACATCGTTGACATGTGACTGGCTCTGGGGGGAAGGGCAACACCCCCAACGGGAGCCAAGTCGATGGGGGAGGACAAAAAGTTAAGAGATTTCTTACTCACTTGGCAGGAGTCTGCGGTGCCCTCTGCACTGCCAGCACAGACCATGTCGTGCTCGATGACAGGGACCTTAAAGAGGATGGTGGGAGTCCTGGTGGTAGAGGGTCTCACAGATCTCTCAGGACAAGAGAGAAACGTTGGCCTGCTGGAGGGTTTGGGGAGCTGGGAGAAGAACTAAGGAAGGAATAATCATGAAGCTTAGATCTTGGGGATTGTTCAGAGTTAACAGGAAAGAGTTAAGGATTAGTAGGGAAGATTCCTGGAGTGTAAATTGCAGATTAGGGCTTGGAGAGAGAACTGGGTATACCTAGGTTTAAAGTAATGCTCCTGTGGATCTGAGAGGGAACATGGGCTAAAGATATGTGTGGAGAGGCCAGGATGGGGAGGCAGCAAGTAGAGTGATCTGGACTTCTAACAGGCTTACCTCCTTCTTTAATGTTTCCCTAGCCTGTCACCCAATAGGGTGTCTCAGAAGAAGTGGGGAAGAGGATCTAGGGAGAGAGATGGGCAGGATATTCTCAGAGAAGGGCACAGGCTGGTCAAGCTGTACCAGAGCTATGTCACCACCAGACTCATCCAGGCTGGTATATGCAGGATGCTGGATGATCTGCCTTACTCCAAGGCATGGGGACTTGGGGAGTCCAAGTAGTGAGAACCCCAGAGGACTGAGAACGGGAGGCATTCAGGTGGCTGTTGAGAAACAGTAGATAATCGAAGCTAGTCACTTGAGGAGGGCTCAGTATACTTTATATTCTGATGATTGAATTTTTATTTCAAATTGCAAGTGCAAATTGCAAATAAGATCCCAGTATTTTCTGTTCTTTCCCTGCTTTTTTTTCCCCTTCCCTTAAGAATTTCCCAGAAACCTTAAGAAGTGCTGAAGGGGTTGCAAGTGGAAAAAGTTTAAGAAGCTGTGCTAAATAACCTGATTTCCTGCACCAGCCCTCCTCCTTGCCACATTCTAAAAATTCCTGTCCTTTTTTCTTGTTCCTTTAATCCCCAATTTCAAAGGATCCTTTCCCCACTAATTTTCCTTTACTATCCCTGTCTCTCTTTATGTCATTATTTTCCCAGAGCAGCTCCTTCTGGGACTTACCTGGGAATGTAATGGGCTGCAGTGAGTAGCCAGCTATGGGAGATTAGGGCAACACCACAGATGTGCTGTTTAAACTGTAGGAAGTTGGCATTCCAGGGCCATGTGCCCTCCTTGGCATCCTCACCTCCAACCACCTGGAGAGAGAAGGGAAGTTGGCCACAGACTAGGGGAGCTGGGAGGAGGATGGTGGAAAAGAGTTATGACAGGTCTCAGATGTTTCAACATCCAACACCAAATACATACCGAAGTCAAATACATACTTGCCTGTACTTGAGGACTCCCCTATAGACTCTAAATTACCCCCTTCTTCCCTCTTCTCCTTCAGAGAAATTCTGTCCTATAAAGCCAGGTCATCCCTTCCAAAAACCCAGACTATCCTGCTATCTTTTTTCCAACTCTTATTTATAGATCCCTAATCCTTTCCCAAATCTAGTCACGTTGCTTTACCTGAATTCCAGAGGGACTTTTGTTCTTTGATGGCTATGAGGATGGGAGAGACTTTGTGGGGTCTAGTACCTATATGAGGGGAAATAGTCACTGAAAGGACCATGGTCCCTGTAAAGGAGAAAATGTCATGATACTTATCCCTTTCCCACATTCGTTCCCTCACCCACTGCATGGCTCACTCTTTTGGTGGGAGCTGAAACCACTAACTACAACCCTGACTACTGGACCTGGGGAAGACAGCTTCCAAGAAGATAATATTTAAGGATGAGGAAACTGGTAGGAGAGGGAAATGGGAGAAAGGCAAGGGCTCAGGGGCCAAGAGAAAGGGAGAGGAGACTTACTCTGTAGAAACAAGGGCTTCTTGTTCTAAAGAAAGGAGATGAGAGGGGCAGCTAGGTGACGCAGTGGATAGAGCACAGGCCCTGGACTCAGGGGGATCTGAGTTCAAATCTGACTGTAGATACTTGATACTTACTAGCTGTGTGACCCTGGGCAAGTCACTTAACGCTGATTGCCTCTCACCAAAAAAAAAAAAAAAAAAGGCAAAAAAAGCAATGCAAGTTATGACACTTACCCAGGACCACTCTCAGAGATGCTCTCCTTTGATGCTTCTTTCTTTGCTACTCCCTGAGACAAACTTGCTAAGATCAGGGCTCTTAAGATGTATCTCAGTTTGGGCCCTCCCTAAGGGCACACCTCAATGAGGCCCCACCTTCTGGTCTCCTTCCCTTCCTCCACCTTGTTTCCAGACCTCCATCATTCCCTGTGGCTCAGAGTGCTTTTGTACATGCAAGATGCTCCACTGATCCCTGGTCACATCCAGGGACTTTTTCACTGGGACTGGAAGGAGAAACAAAGATTTAAAAAGGAAAAGGAATGTGATAAGTGAGGGTAGGTGGAGAGATTCAGGGCAATATGAACCCCTATAGCTGGGCTCTGGGGAAGGGCTAGGTTGGAGGGAGGTTGGGTAAGGTCTAGGAAGTTTGGGTCTTGGAAAAGTTAGTGCCTGTTGATTTGTCAATCTATGTAACTGATACCCAGAGGACATCAGCCACCAGAGGCTCTTTTTGAGTGAATATTTTTCTTATTGGGGCCAGTTACTTCAAAAGTGAAAATCAGCCAAGTAAGGGCCAAAAAAGGGGAGTTAGCTAGATGCCAGATCAGCAAAGGAAGTGAGGTATGGGGAGGAAAGAACCCTTGGCAACTGGAGCCTGGGAGGGGAAGGCAGTTGACTTGGGGAGACAATAGGCTTAGATTTGGGAAGGAAGATCATACAGGGTGGGGTGAATTCGATTTAATCTTTTAAAGCAGGAAGAGGAAATTCTCCCTTTAGTATTGAATCAGTATTTGCCTCTCCCTAACAACAAATTCCTCTAGAGGAATAGCATGACTTCCTGGTTTGTGCTGGACATTTGTGGAAGGGGAAGAAATGGTGAGCATCGCATGATCCTCATCTCTGGCCCGTAGGCTCCATTTGTCTTTCAGAATCCAAACGCTGTTCTCCTAAGTCTCTGCCTTGATGCCCCAAATCTATTCTATCTACAACCTATGCACATGGGATCACAGCATCATGGATCCAGAGTTGGAAGACTTCAGAGGCCAACTAGTATACTACTTCATTTTTACAGATGAGGAAACTGAGGCTCAGAGAGGGTGAGTGGATTGACTGGATAGTAAGCATCAGAGACTAGATCTCCGGGCCTCAGTTTCTTCAAATGTGAAGTGAAGGTTGTTGGATTCTAATAGATGACCTCTAAGGTCCTTTTCAGCCCCAGGTCTATGAGTCTTGTTGTTCAGTCATCTCTGACCCTTCATGACCCCATTTAGGGTTTTCTTGGTAGAGATACTGGAGCGGTTTGCCATTTCCTTTCCCAGCTCATTTTACAGATGAGGAAACTGAGGCAACAGTTAAACAGAATTAAGTGACTTGCCCAGGGTCACACAGCTAGTCTGAGGCCAGATTTGAACTCATCTTTCTGACTTCAGGCCCAGTGCTCTATCTACCACACCACCTAGCTGCCCATCTATGAGTTTATTCCCCTCCACAACCCAAGTTTTACCCTTCTCCCAGAATCCAGAGGCTGTCACCTCTGGCTTCTAGCTCTTTACTCCAGATTCCTCCCCATTCAATTTGCTTCTCTTCCAGCAATCTCCCAGGCTGTTACCCAGCTGCCCATTCTTCAGAACCATGCATCTAGTTACCACTATTCCACTTTGGATACGAATTTTCTTCCTTGGAGAGTAAATTGTGGTGCTGGAACGCCAAAGGTCTTCCTCACCATGAGCCCTGTGAAGTCAGGTCAGCACTTTGGGGGAATTACAGCCCAGATACCTACACCCCAGTGAGTAAACACATAACTGATCGAGGAGAACAGACTCTGAGTAATAGTGGACCACACCCAGGACCTCTTCCTTCAGGTCACCTTCCCCATAGTATCTAGTTCCCACCCAGCAACCCTAAATCCTCTATAGTCTAACTCTATGACTCATTCTACTTTTGTAATTTCTCCTATTTTTAGTTGACTTTTCATATCTATTTTCTTTTTCTTCTTTGTATTCTTTTTGGCTAGGCAATGGGGTTAAGTAACTTGCCCAGGGTCACACAGCTAGTAAGTGTTATGTGTCTGAGGCCAGATTTGAAGGCAAGTCCTCCTGAATCCAGGGCCAGTGCTCTATCCACTGCACCACCTAGCTGCCCCCATATCTATTTTCTATGACACCATACCTAGGGTCCTTGAGGGCAGTGATTATGCCTTGCACGTCTTTGTCTCTTCTGCTTTGCCCGGGACTGTACCATACATATAACAGGTTCTCAGAAATGGTTTCTTTTTCCCTCACAATCAGTAAGTATTATTTTAAAAAAAATTTTATTTTTTTCCAATTACATGTAAAAATGATTTTTAACATTTATTTTTTAAAATGTTGTGTTCCAAATTCTCTCCCTCCCTTCCCTCTTCCTTTAGAAGACAAGTAATTTAATATAAGTTATACATATGGAGTCATGTAAAACATATTTCCATACTAATCATGTTGTAGAAGAAAACAGAGATGCCTCCTCCCCAATAAAAAGAAAAAGAAAGAAAGTAAAAAGAAGTATACTTCAATCTGCATTCAGACTCCGTCAATTCTTTCTCTGAAGGTGGATCTAATTTTTCATCATGAGTCCTTTGGAGTTGTCTTGGATCATTGTGTTGCTGAGAATTAGCTAAGTCATTCACAGAATCAACAAGTATTATTAAGCACTTACCAGGCCCTGTACCAGACCCTTGGATATAGATACAAAAAAGAAAAAAAAATCTCTACTTATAATGAACTTAAATTTCTTTTTTTCTTTTTCAAGTTTTATTGTTGTGCTTTGCTCTTACATGATCAGATTTATAGATCATTTCTAGATCATTCTCACCTTATGAGAGGGCTCTTGTAGCAAAGTGAAGCAATAAAGTAAAACTAATAGTACAGTGACTTCATCAGAAAGTGATGAAAGTGCATGGAATATTTCATATCTATATCACCCCCTATTTTCTCTATTTTATTTTCTCTATTTTCTGTTTTCTCTCCCTTCTGCCTCACATGCCATTAAAAAAAAATGTCTTTTGTAACAGATCTTCATTGTCAAGCTAAATAAACTTCCTCAATGGATATATATATTTTTGTATACATTTCATTCCTCACCCTAAATTCCTCACCTCTCTCTCCTGCATAGCAAATTTTATCGTTAGTCCTCTGGAAGCATGAATGGTCATTGTAACATATCATAGTTTTTACAGCTTTCAAAGTCATTTGGTTGGACTCAGAGTTGTTGTTTTTGTGTAAATTGTTCATTTCATTCTTCATCAGTCTGTGAAAGTTCTCAAACTTTTTCATTTTGTTATGGTATAAATTTTTCTTCTGGCTCTGCTCACCTCACTCTGCATTATTCTTTCCATGTCTTTTTAAAATCATCAGTAAGGATTTCTTGATTAATTCCAATCTTCTCTGTATTCAAATTGTTCCTGAATTCTCTTCTAAGAGTTTTCTCCACTACCCCCAACCTTACTGATATTCTCAGAAGTTGTTCCTTTTTCCCTAGTACCTTCCTCTAGACTCTGATCCCAGAGTCAACCATTCCCCTCATTCCTTAGACTAGAACTACATGAGGGCAGGGTCTTCTCTAAGCTGAAGATCTCCCCTAGAGCCTAGCACACTGTTCCATGAAGCAGATGTTTCATAAATGTGAATCACATTGACTCTGTCTTTCCTTGGCTATCCAAAATCTGAACGAGGCTATCACCAAGGACTCAGAGTCTGAATACCCTGCTACCCAAGAACAGATATGAGATATTCACTATAACCTTGTCACTTTCCCCTCTTCCAAATCCAGACCTCTGAGGTCAGAGGCAAAAAACTTAAAAATTTCTGAAATGGGACATCATGTGGCAATCTTCCCTTGGGACAAGGAAGATGAAGGGACAGGTGGGAAGCATAGGATAGGTGGGAGGAGGAAGAGAAGAACTAGAAGGCTCAGAACTCCTCTGTCTAGAAAGGACAGTCTCATCTTGATAGGCAGGGACTATGTATTGTGATTCCAGGGTCCCTGCACCCCTAGCCAGGACTGGAAGGTAGGTAAGCCTCCTCTTCTTCCTGATCCCTTCTTTGTCTTGTGCCTGGGGTGGGGGTGGGGGTGGGGGGGGCCCGATTTCCAAGCACCTAGCTAGGTTTGGCTTGGAAGTATTTTGGGGCCTGACCTCTCGGGTCCTGCTAGGCTGGCCAGCTACAAGGCTGTCTGGAACTCAGCCTGATGCTCTCATGCTTTCTGTCCAGTGGTTCTGTCTAGGCACATGCACCTGGGCACACCTTCCTTAGCACAGAGGACAGACTCGCTATCAAGAAGCATAGGTCCAATCCTCTCAGTTCTCTAGGCACTAGGGAATTGGGAAGTTGTTGAATATTTTTTTATTTTTTTCTCTTTTTCCTTTCCCCTAAGCCCACAGTGGGTCAATCCTCTTCAATTCCCAAGAATTTGCCTTTGGGCTGTCTTTTACAAAATTGGAAAACTTTTAGCTTCTCTAAAGGACTTAAAAAGGAAAAGCTGGTGTATTTTCACAACACCGTTTGGCCTCAATATCATCTGGAAAATTATGAGGCATGGCTCATTTTTGGGACATTAAGGCTAAAGACCCTCTCAGAGTTAGAAAGAAAATGGGTGGAGATTTCTTACTTAATGGCTTTTGTTGAGCTTTCTAGAGACCCATTCTCAGAAAAGATTGTAAGATGCTCTTATGGCTCCTAGGGTTATGGCACCCTCCTCTTCCCAGCCTCTGTCAGCACCACCTCCCCAGCACCTATCTCCACCCCATTCTCATCTGGCCTCTCTGGCTCTTCCCCATTCTCCCTGGACCCCTCTTTCTGCTCTCCATCCTCCCTAACCCTTCCTTCTGCTCCTCATTCTCCCTTGACCTCTCCTACATTTCCCTATTCTGCCCTGGGCCCCCTTGTTTACCATGCCACCTCCTGCTTGCCCAACTCCTCTTTCTCTTGGTTTCCTTTCCCTTTTCCTCTGGCTCCTGCATTTCCTCCCCAGGCCCCTGCTCTGGAGGTGACTTCTACTCAGGCCTCGAGCAAGGGCCTCGCCTCAGCCTCTACTTCTGAGGAGACCCCTGCTCAGGCTCCAAACAAGGGTCTCACCTTGGCGTCTCCTCCCCTGACCCCTCCCCCTCCTCCAGTGCCAGCTAATCTTTCCGCTTGCCAGCTGGTTCATCAGGCACTCCCTAGCCCATTGCTCACAAGAAGTGGGACTTCCTATCTCCCTCTCCCGCAAGCCCCTGTTCCCACAGCACCTTCAGGGCTTTCTCCTTTTTCCTGTTAAGGGAAATACCCACCTCCCTTG